GTTTTTTTCATATAATAAAAGACATTGACAGATTTATTCACTATATTAATAATGGAGCTGGATTTAATGTATCATAAGAAATTTGCATTTTTTATTGATTCCTATAGATTAGGTCCAAAACAATTCTTTAATGTGCCGTTCATATATAATTTTTAAGTTAATTGTAATATCTACTAAAATATAATAAAAATAAAATAAAAACATGAAAATTAGTAGTTTTGTTTGTATTTTCGTTACAAATTAACTGTCATGTTAGGAAGTCAACTGTCCAAACAGAGAGCTTGATATGAGTTTTAAGTTATAGGATTAATGACTAGAGGTGGTTTATTATACAACCATCTTTATTCATACAATTCTTACAACCAAATCCTAGCCTTTAAAGATTTGATCAATGATAAGCATCTAATCAAGGTAATTAATAGGTTATCTAATGTCTTTTTGATTTATTTTCTAAAATTATATCAAATTAAGGGGTAATTTTGAAAACTAAAAAACTCATAGATTCTAGGGAGTTTGATTTATGAAGCGAGAATTCTGGACAAATTAAACTCAATATAAGACATTAAATTTGAACATTATCAATAGAAAATATTACTTATTTATGAACCCTAGTTATACACAGGCCCCAGTTTACTTGTTTTATGAAAGTCTCCAAATGATTCATGAATGTACAAAATTCAATATATACATGTTTTATGAATGTCTCAAAATTCATTATACTTGTTTAATGAAATAGGTTTCATGAGCAGATGAACATATTTAACGAAATAGGTTTCATGAACAGGTTTTGTTTATAAAATATGCATCCAGTGAAACATGCATACAAATTGCAAAAAAATAATAATAATGAATGAAAATGTTTAGTGAAACATTATAAGTTACTTGCAAAAAAATATCTGCTTTTGTTTATGACAAATCCAAACTGAGTTTATAGAGTTGGAGTTCTGGAGATGGTAAGTGTTTTTTCATCATCAAGATCATATGGTGATGGAAAGTCTTGCAAGTTTTGATGAAGAAGACGAAATGAAGACATGGAGAAGAGGAATTAATGAATATTAAAATGAAAAACAATTGTTTTCATAATTGTTCCAAGTAATATTAGGAAAGACAATATTATACATTAAAAAAATTAATAATTATCCAAAATTATACATAGACAATATTGCCACTTTCCGTTATTGAAAAATAAAAAAAGAAGCTATTTGTTGATTGGTCAATTTTAAATTATATAGGTTGTACAAATGTAAAAGGTTACATTTAAAATATATCCTCAATAACCATGTGTCTATGTGCCTTATATAAATACGTTACAGAAAATTACTATGACCAAGTTTAGCAAGTTAACAACTTATATATCTATCTTTACAAACAAGTTGATCATTTATCCAACAATCCATATTAAGTAGGATTTTCAATTAAAATGGTTAATTAATTTGATTAGGGACAAAAAGGAAGTTTAATTTCTTGTTTCCACCATCAAATATATGATTTTTTGTTTTTTTATTTAATTAAAAACTTTTATCCCCTTTTATCCCTTTAGTTTTTAAATTAAATTATCTTAAAATTACTAATATTTTTATCAAACAAATTACATTAAAAAAACGAGTGTTTCATTCTATTCAATATGACATCGATCTTGATATATTTTTTTTGTTATAACTTTTTTTTACGTGAAATAATATATATGCGTAATATTCATTATGAATATTCATGTATATTCACAAGTACATAACAGCTTGACACCATAAGTTCGTAAAGCTGTAATCTGACTCTACGCTCTTCATCACCGTAACCCAACACCCATTGAGATTAATTGAGACTAATCAAGAAGTCATCCATTGATTTGGTGTGTGTGTATAAAACAATAACCTACCAACTTCATTTTCCATAGAGACTGATTGAGAACTAATCGATTGATCTATTATGTGTTTTGTTGGTCCCGTTGGGGTCTACAAGATGTGTATAACAGTTTGTAGAAGGGGAAGGATGAATACAAACACAAAATTTTCAAATTTAAAACATATATTGATAAGAGAATATCAATACAGATTTTACAAGATTGTTTGCGGAAAGATAAGGTAGACAAAACCTATCTAAACAATCTTAAGTTTACACACTAAATCTTAGCAAATAAAGAAAAAATTTGATGTTAAAGAAATAGAAGAAAGTAAGTTCTATCTGGGATATAACTTGTTTAGAATACAATAAAAGAGATTCTAACTTGCTCTTGAAGATGAGTGTATTTGTTCTTACATGTGTGTGTTCTTTTACTTAAGCATAAGTAAGCTCAGAGTAAGGGTTAAGAGTATATATCTCTGCATGGAGATAAAACACATCTTTTTATACCCATTGCATTAATGCACATTTAATGCAACGTAGTAGGGTTAGAACGCGTGTCAGGCCTTAAGGGGAAGGCTTGTCCTTTGCTACAGTGAATAGTATAAAAGCCTTTTCATGAGCAGACATTCTTTCATAAAGTTGGTGGGTAATATAGTCAACTAATCGGCTCCATACTGTACTAACGTTTAGAAAGGGCATGGGTTTGTCTTTTGTGGGTGTAAGGACAAGACAACAACAATCGTGCTCGACAAGCTTCTTTTGATCGCTGAATGCTGGAATAACCTGAAGGTCTCTTTAGCATTTACTGAGGCTTGGGCAGTCTTCACACATATGTAGACAAGGTTGTAATCACTGAATACCGCTTCAGATCACGTATTCGCTAGTCTCTAATCTTCAGTTTCAGTCTTCGACTTTCGTTGAAGGTTCTTTGTTGTGAATGTTGTCTTCTAGAGATATTACTATCGCTGATTGGATTTACAATACAAGTTCTTCAGCGATCATTGAACATGCTCAGTGATGATCGTTGGAACTGAAAAACGGAAACATAAATTCTTCGTATAGGATACAAGGGATTATCATCAAATCAAATGAGAGAGAGGATCAACAATCTCCCCCTATTTGATGATAACAAGACAACACAAAGAAAGTTGTCTCATCAAATAATAGTAAGGAAAAGTAACATATGAAATGCATATCCCTTTTAACTATTTTTGGATCTTTTTCAGTGAGAATTTTCTTAAGTTACATTTAAGAAAAGTTACAAGAATAGAAACTGAAACTAAAAGCTTATTCACTGACTTAGAGATTGTCAGTGAATGTGAAAAGTAACACTGGAACTCAAAGACTTATTTCCTATTACTTTTTTCCAGGGATCTTTTTCAGTGAGATACAAGAAACACTAATATTATATTCAATGGAAATATTACAAGATGTTCAGTACATGTCTAAAACTTACATACTATAAGATTAATCACGGAAACTAGACATAGTAAGTAGATTACAAAAGAATATGTGGACAATATTACAAAGAAATATAAGCTAGTCTAGGATGCTTAGATTAATATAGCCAGGTACATCTTCTCCAAGCTTCTTTCGATGTAGGAATTCTCTTCGTATCTTTCGGTCCACCACTTTTCCTTGCAAGCTATCATCTACCCAGAACAGTAGATAAACCTGATGTCCTATTAGGCATAGATGTAGCTCAGTCATTCTCTGAAATCTTACTTCACCTTCATAGTCAAGGAATATAACTCCTAACTCAGGTTTGAAGTGCACAGAGTTGGGTATATATGGACCCTTCTCTGGCATATCAAGATTTAACATATAAATGTCTATAATCTCGTATTCCTTCAGGACTTCATCTAAGGAGAACCTTGTTTCATGTTCGTTCCTCAGGGATGGTCCATGATTAGGACTAGAGGGTCTTTTCTTCCTTCCTCCCTTTTTCAGAGATGGCCTGTCAGGGACCACGACATACCTGGACATCCTTTTGATGAGATAGTTGATGATGTCTTCGATAATCGGCTTATGTCTAGACTTGGATCGCTGAATGGCTTGCCTGATCTCCAGCCATTCAATGTATCCATAGTGGCTAAGGTAGGAAGGGTACTCAATGATGGCGTCAAGATTGTCCCTGGTGATGAGCATTGAGACAAGAGTTCCATCGTCTTTGGATCGTCCGCTGATGCTGACGCTCTTGATCAGGTGAGGACTAATTCTCTTCTTCAGCTTTGCTTCGCTCTAGCGCTTGTCCCGTTCAGCCAGCTTCAGATTTTTCTCATGCTTAGCTTCTGCAAGAGAAAGTAACTTAACTTGGGCTTGGACAGCGTTCACCTTATTTTTGGACTTTCTCTTTGGGAGAATCTTTCCAGCTAGTGACTTGGCCAGCTTTAGGTTGTCTTCAGTCTGCTTCTTCTGAAGCTCTAGCTTTTCTTCAGCCCTTAACGCCTCGAGTCTTTCAGCTTCTGAAAGGAAGTCAAACTCACTACCACTAAAGGTACGAAGAGGAATTTCTACTCTAGTCTAGTTGAGTGACTCTTTTAGCTGAGCCATCTGTTGGTTGATAGAAGCACTGGAGACAGGGTTTCAGGGACCGACTTCAGTCGATCACAGGTGGTAGAGGGAATATGAAGTTGATATAATGAAGTGACCACTACCTGAGAGGTAGAGTCTTCAAATAAGGGTTGAGGGTTTTTGAAAAGTACCTTCAGGTTCCCTTCTTTAGTGACACCTTTGCCTTTCGACTTAGGGTCCTGGTTCTTTGAAGGGGAGAACTCTTCTTTCCTTTGCTCCCCTTGGGATGCACAATCCCAGAGGGCGACTCCATTGGTGGCGGTTGTTGGTCGTTGATACTGAATGGTGAAGTCATCTTCATCATCACCATCGAGGTCACTGTCGGAGTCTGGAAGGTCAGGTTTGTCATCTTCATCATCATCATCATCATCACCAGCAACAGGTGCAGAGGTGATGGGAAGGTCATCAGCCCTAAGGATGGCATCAACTTTCTTAACTATAACAGCTTCACCGAAGGTTTGTATTTCTTGGGCAATCTCAACTTCAGCTTCAGCTTCAGCTTAAAGGATTGCTGGAGCAACAGATGGTCCAGCAGCGTTGGACCTCATCTCCCCCTCTTTGGCTAAGACTTGAGATTATTGACGGACAACATCCAGGATCTGCTGGAGAAGCTCTGTTTGCTGGAGAGACTGAGCCTGAACGTCATCAGCCCTGCTGGATAGAACAGCGATGGCTTCAGCATTGGCTTGAACAGCCTCATGAAGAGTCGAGAGCTGACTCCTTACTTCTTGAACATCGCTTCCGGACCGGGTACCGGGAACCTGTCCGGTGCTGGGGCGGTGACTGCCAATCGACCCTCTATTCGGTCCTAGCCCGTAAGGCGTCCTACGGGTTCTGTATCCACGTCCGCGTCTGATAGCCCTGGTGTGAATAGTGCGAACCATGTCTCCTACAAATAAAAAGGAACACTAAGTCGAGTAGTGACGTAGGATCAAACTTAATCGCATGCTAAGCGCACCAATACACAATAAACACGTGCTTCTAATAATCCTTTCAGTTTAAGTTTAGGCTAAGCAAATCTCAACCTATTTACGTTAAACTAAAGCTCTAACAGTCTTCTTAGTTTAAGCTTACGCTAAGTAAGTTTTAGCCTAATTACCTTAAACTAAGGCTCT